TGCGCCTCCGCCTCTGTGTCCTCAACGAGATCCTCAGCACCGAGCGGGACTACGTGGGGACCCTCCACTTCCTGCAGTCGGTGAGCGGGGCCGCGGGCAGCCCCCCCAGGGGCAGCGGGAGGCCGGGCAGGGGGGCTCGGCCCGGCGCGGAGCTGAGCCGGGGGCTGCCAGGGTGTCCCGGCAGCTCTTGGCGCAACTTGTGGGAAGTGCCTGGGGCCAGGCCCGCTCCGCTGAAAGGGGGGAGTTTCTTCTGCTCGAGAAGCTGCTGGGGGATGTGCGCGGGGCCGCCGTGGGCAGAGCGGGGCCGCAGCAGCCGCGTTCTCACCCCGGTGCCGGGGCGCTGGGTCCCGCAGCATCCCGGGGGAGGCAGGCGGGGGACTGTGCCTTCCTGAGGCTGCCAGGAACGGGTCCAGGGATGGATCTGCTTTTCAGAATGCCTCATCGCTTTTGTCGGTGGTGGTGATGTTTAGGAGTTGCTGTTACACCCACTTAACAACTCTACCCTTACTGGCTGTTGTGTATAAATATTTATTTTTATTTTTGCTGTAATGGTAAATATAAATATGTGATTGAGCCGGGTGTGTCTGTGCATGTGGAGACAATTATACTCGCCCTCTGAAATTATCCACGGACTGGTTCAGAAGTAAAACTCCATCTGGATATTTCCTTTTTCCTATACGGGCTATAGATGTGGAATTCATCAGCATACCACCACACTCCTGCAAATAACTAGGAGAGCCTGCAGTAAAAGTTACTAGATAACAGATATGCCATAAAAAAGAAGAAGAATAAACTGTTTGATCAGACAGAGATCAAGAATCAAAGCAAGGGATGTCTCTACAGAGATTTCTGAAAGATTGGACAAGGCAGAAATTCTTTCTGGTGTTTTGCTAGATAAGTGCTAAACCCTGATATAATCTAAATGGATTTAGACCCTGGACCCTTTTTGACTTGTCTTTCTGGAAAGGTTTTTGTTTATTTGTTTTTTAAAGTCGATTTGCCTTCAGTGTTGTTCAGATTCACCCAAGTGGCAAACTGTCTAGCATGAAAGACAAATGAAAAGGATGTGGTTGCTTTATGAGCTAGTCTCTCCTTAAATCCTTCTTTTCTCTCTCTAATAGCTGAACTCAGAGTCTTTAATTCCAGAAAACTTCCAACTGAAGTGCTGGTTTAGCTTCCTTTAGAACTGGCCTGAATGTGAGTAGGTTCTTAAAAAAGCTGCAAGTTGAACGAGTGCCCCACCCTACAGACCAAACAAAACTCTCAGAAAACCCCTCTGTCCTAAGTACTGAATTTGAGATTTTGTCAATTGCAGGCTGGAATGAGGATTCAAGCTACGTGTATTTTTTAGCTTCATTTCATACAGCTAAATGCAGTCACAGTGTTAACTAATGGGATTTTTGTATATTAAAAAGCAAAACAAGTTATTTTCATTACTGTGGCAGTTTTTATGAGAGCAGTAGTGAGTAACAGGCCTTAGGTACTGGCAGGAGAAAATACTGACAGAGGACACTTTGTGGTGGTCTCAGGATGGCACTGCAGGCTGAGCCCCTCACAGTCACCTTGTTACTAGCTACTAGGTGTAGATTGGCTGTAGTGTTGTCTTGGGAGGTTGATTCTGAAAATGCAGCTATACCCCCTATGGAGTCTGGGTTTTGGTAATTATGTTTGAGTAAAGCACTGAGGGATAGGATCTTTCCTATCTTGGTTTAAAGCAGTATTCATACACAGGCGCAACTTTTGGCACGTGTCAAATGTTCATGTGCTGTCCTAAAGAATGACAGTTTCTTCAGTCATTGACTTAGTTCTTAGGGGCTGAGTCTCTCTAGAACATCCAATATAGTTGGATGATGTTAGCACCAAGGAAAGTTCAATAGGGATCTGCTGCAGTATGTGAGGGTAAAAAGAGCAGCAGTGGGATGAAATTTTTCCAACTGAAGTTTGGAGTCAGAAATATTTTCTGCATAGATTTGGTGGGTGGCCATAACTTAATTTCTAACAAGATGCCCTGCTTCCCACATGGAGCAGCTAGCATGACGTGCAAGTATAGTAGCATCTATACAGTCAATGGAATTACAGGCAGTTATAGGGCAAAAGTTTTGCCTTATGACACTAATAAAAGTAATGTAGCACTGGTGCCCTGTATTCTCAGATCTTGAACCTCACCAGAAAAGTCCACTTTACTCCCATTAGTTTGTTTTTCCAAGTGCTCTGACATGACTGCTGCTCCTGCCCCATCTGCCTCTTTCTTACCATCTCCTGATCCGTGTGAGTTGCACTTACCTAGTGCAAAATAAAAGTAAACTGTTAGTCTTTCTGGGGTAGTGTGCCTAGTTAGCACTCAGACGTGGTTGGGTGATGTTAGGGTTTGTTGGGTTTTTTTACAGTGTGAATTGTACTTAAATTGATTATACTTCTATATGTTGCAGAAGCAATTTTGGCTGCAGTGGACACAAGGCTGCAGTTCCTCTGTGAGGGACAGCTGCAGTTCCCAGATCTTACGGAAACTTGTGCCTGTCAAACATGAGATGAGATATATGCAGGGCACAGGTTCCTTTGCTTAAGAAACTTTAATAGCTCTGATAAATAAAGGCAGGCTAAATCTCATATCTTCATATTGTCAGAATGAGCTTTTCCCAAGTAGGATGGGACAGTTGTGCTTTAGAAAAAGGTTAGGTCAGGGAATTTGTGCTCTTTGTTAAATATTTGCTATTGAATCACTAGTCATCATTAAGTATTCTCAATAAACAATGTTTTTAAAAGCAAACAACTAAATTCTATGGCGTTATTCACAGCACTGAGGTTGCTTGCTAGCAGCAGCTTCCTGTGTTTCCTGGTAATGTAAAAGAATCTCCAAAGTATTTACTACTGCGGGTCTGCAAATAAATCAAAGTAACTTTGATTTATTAATAGTATTTTGGTCCTTTTTAGAAGGCTAATATGTGACCATGTCAAAGGACAGGTTTCCTTTTTCTTTTTGTCTGCTTAGAAACCTTTTCGCGCTAAGCTGCAGGGAAAACAGGTTTCCTATAAACATAAGGACTCAGTCCTTATTTGCTTTGCCTAAAGGGTTGTGGTCCTTATTTTGCTTCCATAGATTAATCAAGTGGGTATCATTAAAGTTATAGAATATGTTGTTGTTTTTTCCCCACAATAAAAATTCTGTTAGTCACTATGAAGAACATTTGGCTGTGAGTTTTGTACTCATTTAGTAAAAATGCCTCAGATGTTTACCAATTAAAATAACAGACTCTAGAGAATAAATTGTCTATTTCATACCTCAAGTGATTCTGGCAAAAAGAGTTATGTGTGCAAATTTAACTTAGATTTAAACTTAGGCTTAATACATACAGTTAATTTTTCACTGTGTATGTTGCTTGTAAGATTTTTATTCAGGTGAATTTTGGATGCAAGAAGGGGTTCCTGGTCAGTTTTGCTCCTGTTTAGTTTCTGGTACTCCTGTTGATAGGTCATATTACAGTATCAGGTATCAGAATTGGGGAAAGAATGAAACCAGTAGCTTTTCTCTGTGGTTTGTTCCAGATCTCACAAGATGACACGACCAATTTCAAGGGATATCCTTTTTTGTTGTTTGTTTGCTTTTGTAAAGCAGAGTTTGGGTTTTATATTAAATGGTGATGCAATAAAGATGTGATACTCATACGCAAATCGTTATTTTGAAAGCTTTATTTTTTCTAGATTAAGCCTCAAAATCATGAGTTACCAGGCTGAGGGAGGGCAAACTCTACCAGCTCACAGCTGATGATCTGAATTTACTGATTTAATTATGAATGTGCACATGCTGTATTGTGTCCTGCCTTGTCTGCCATTTTGTTAGGCAAGTATGATGTTGCAAAATAGGGAATCCTCCTTGAAGGAATGCTTTGTAAATCCAGAGTATTAATAGAAGTACTGCACTTATGCAGATATGTTAATAGCTTTACTAATAAAGACTCGTTACATAGCCAAAACTTTTAAGCAGCAGGGAGAAATACAGGTAATGGATGAAAACATACTGCTGCCAGTGTCATTAAAGAACTACTGACCAAATAAAAACCAAAGTGGAAAATTGTAAGAAGCTATTGGAACTTTACTAAAAGTTACTGATGTAGCAAGGTAAACTTCAAAGAGATAAAGGTAGGTAAGTCTCTGGTGAGATCATAAACCTTAAGGATTTTCAGCCTCCAGACTTCAAGATTCAATTAATCCTTTGCCTGCCTTTGGCCTCTTTAAACTTTCTGCAGCATGCAGATATGTCTATGTTTTATATGTGGTCTTGTAAATATTTATTTTTCTATATGACAAAATTAAACCAGGTGATAATTCAGTTTGTGAGACCAGTTGGCTGAGTGTCAAAGCATCTGTCTGGTGGCCTGCAGTCTAGCACATGAATATGTGAGTGACAGCAGAGTCTTTAGGTACTGAGGTGTGATGTCTGCACATTGCAGCCCTTAAGCTTACCCATTCTCTAGGTATCTGCTCTTGCCTGTGTTGTCAAGCTGTATGGAAAAGTCACAATTCATTGAGAGAAGAAAGGCTGTGGTTTGTTTGAAAGCTGCCTGGTCATTCCACAGAATCCCAGTAAAATGTTTGATACTAATATTTCAGTTATAAAAGACCGGCTTTCAAGTAAGGAGACATCTGAGAAATTTCAGACATACTTACTGACCATAATTTTAAAATTTGATTGAATAGTGGGTACGCAACAGTTAGATGTCAGTATTGAAAAGTTTGGTTTACCAACTTATAGATATAATAATAGGAATTACATATTAAAGTGTAGTAACAGTAATTATCCAGTACACTAGATAGCAACTGTAGGTATTTTGTTGTTACACTTTCCTATCCTTTAAATCCACTGAACACTTAACTCTAACTTACACATGCAGCTCTCACAACTTAGTCGATAATTGTAAGAATAGGAAGCCAAATTGTTCTCTACATTGTATATAAGTACAGCTCTTTCATCTTTCTGAAAACAAACCACCAACTTGTAAATTTCAATGTCAGAATGACAGGATGTACCTTCAGGTTGAGCAGTTGATGTGTGTTCTGTGCAGGCATGAAAACAGTATGAAAG